TTTCTGTGCAGCCACTGATCCATGCCTCTCGTTCTCCAGCCGTACGCAGTACTTGTACACAGTAAGCTCATGAGATGCAAACACCACTCTCTGTTTTGGACTTTGCCTTACCTTGGTTGCCTTTCTACCGTACAATACTTAAACCTGGGCCATCATCCATGCCTTTTGCTGAGAACAGCTGAGACCGTTGGAGATGGCGGAGGCCAAGGTGCTAAAGAGTACCTAAGTTGGGTGCATAAGGAAGCGGCCGTGCAGAGACCGCAGATGAAGGAATCCCCGAAAAGCAGCCGGTGCTTTGCTCAAGGTACCTAGGCGGCACTCGAGTCACCACTGCTAAACGTCCCCCTTACACCAGCTACTCGTCTACCAACCGGACGTCTTCGAGGGGCTTCACTTTTGGGACACGTTTGCGACTGCAATCTAAGTAAGACCAGCGACAAATCGCTGACCGCAAACTGAGTGTGCCCACTCACGAGTCTGAATGAATGTTTCTTTAGTGGGCCGGAGCCCTGGCTGGCTCTTGTCCCTCCGGGCCTATGGACAGACCGTGGTTGGCTGAGCGACCGCTGGCGCCTACCCTGTCTATTTGAGGTGTGGCTGCGCCCCTCTCTACGAGTACCTAGGTACTGCAGTATACACAGTAAACCAGCCCACCACTTCTCCTGGAAGCCCGTGACCCTCACTAGCCCCCCCCCCCCCGCCCTCGCTGATCCATCCATTCGATTGTCGTTCTTGTCGTCCAACCTCTTCGTCTCACTTTACTTAGTACGAATGCGTGCCCGCCGGTAATCCGTACCTGAGCGACAGCATTCGCGAACAGCGAAAGAACCGACTTCGTCAGCAACGCGGGTCCTCACCGACAATGCTCCGACCACCAGGTCGTTGACGGCTGCCGAGTCAACGCTACGACAGAAGTCTGTTTTTCCAACAAAAGTATCGTCCTCAGTCATGCAAAATACGACGGGGGGCCGGTGATCGTCAGGCCCACATGCAACCAAGTCCATCAAAAGCAAACACACAGAATCAAGCATCATCCACCCACACAACCAACCTCCAGACAATCAGACTGTCGCAAATCGAATCCCATCATTTCCCGCCCGTAAACACTTCACGCAACTCTGCGTGTTGGGTACGCTCGTAGCTTTGTACGGATTGACAGCGATGATCAGCAAAATCCGAAACTGTCATCCCATCCTTTGGCTATTTTACTTCCTCCCTCCAGTGCCGCAAAAGCTCCCGACCCCTCTCAAAAAAAGAAACCCCAGCAACCTTCCCTACTGAATCAATCTGCCTCTAAAATCAGCAAGGAAGTCCCTTTTGCCATCACTCTTGAAGAGTCCCCGGCTTCTCAGTGCCCCTTCATCTCAATCACCATTGCCGCCTTCCGCCTTCACCGTAGTCGTATTCTATGCTTTGGCTCCCGCGAACCCCCCTACCAAAAACACCAAACCTGAAGCACACTGAAGCAGCACCGGCCCTGCTTCACTCTCCCTACGGAGTACTGCTGCAACGCTAACCCATGTTTTACGCATGACATCACCAAATAGCTTCAAACAGGATGGATTCCCCTTTCAGTCATCGGCGCTCACCTCTGCTCTGGGACAATTGATGCTACGTAATAATTTGAGCTTTTCCACGAGTGTTCACTCACACAGCTGAAAGCGAGAGTAAGAGTGAGGAAAGCCACGCCACACTCTTCTACCTACCATATTGCTGACACTCCACCTGACGCCACATTCTGCCTGCCATCTGCTCTTCCAGCGTCCAGCTTTGCGCCGGCCTGATCAACCCTCGTAAAATACACAGACCACCGTCCTATTCTCCTGAGAGGTTCTGCGAGACTGCAAAACCTCGTATCGGCGAGTCAGGCGACTTGCGAAAAAGGCAGCTCGACCAATATGTAGGTCCATAGCGCCATTAGTCAACTCTCAGTGAAGTGAACCATCATTTCTATCTGTCTCCAACTACCCTCAACTAGTGCCCGGCATCCTTTCTCCCGACGTTTCCCGCCAATGCCCATCATCTCCCACTTTGAGAGGCTCAACCTAGATATTTTGCGAATCACTCCCGCAACCTTATCCCCAAACTCTGGGACTAACGCGTGCAGTATTGCGATACTTGGATCAAAATTGTGTTCTCTCCTAGAGCTTCTGCAGCTTTATTTCATAAATGGGTATTGATCTGCCATATTAGTGCTTCAAGCACCGTCGAATGGGCAGAGCTAATGTAGCCCTTTGCAACACAATCGAAGGGTAGGTTAACGATGATATACGCTCTATGAATCTCTCGTCACGTCATAATCATTATTGAAATGCTGGGGAGTTCGTTTAAATGTTATGTAACCGCCAGACAATCTGATACTTGTACCTCCAAGTTCACAGTACATCAACAAGCCAGACGAAGTATGATTTCTCAGGTTCAAGTAGTGTATTCACACCAACTGAATTGCCTCAAGTCAAGTCATTCCAGTGTAACTGAAACAATAATCCCCATTCGGAAGTCATTCATTCACATCATGATGGTGCTTTTCCAAGCCCGTCTCGTATGACCTGCATCACATGCACCGATGCTAAGTGGAAGGCCTGATTTCGCAGCTGCGGTAGTCTAGAAGAGAGTCTTGACCAGAGCTTTGTGATTTCTTCAAATTACAACCGCTCGTAACGAATCACAGTAGCCCTAAATGGGACGTGGAAGTAAGAGCCCTTTCGACAGCGCGTCGAAGACAGGTTTATTTGCTATCAACTTTCATCCAAGTGTGGCTATATATGCTTGAGCCAGTCTCAAACACAACTAAGTGGACTTTATGCATGGACTTGAAACATAGACTCTTTTTGAAACTCGAACGAGTACACACAGGTTAAAATCTTTGGCCACGGATGTCGAAGGCTTGGCTTCGATGTGCCCGGAAACTTCACAGCGATGTACGATCCTTCTTGTTTTCGCCCATCAGGTATAATTATGAGCTTATGTCAGCGCTGTAATGGCAGGCTAAAAAACACCTATATGATATGATAAACGACAGTAAGCCGCATTTATGTACGCCAGTCTTTTGAGTACTATCTGTAGTCGCAGTGCTACCGAGCCGTTACGGGTTCCGAAGTCTAAGGAGCATCCATTTCGGCACATCGTGTATTCGAAAACTTCACCAGCTGTATCTAGTTGAATGACATCTGCAGACCTTTCTTGCCAGATTTCTAGTGAAAGATTCGTTCTATCTGGGCTGAAACAGTCGGTCCAGAAGCAAGAGACCTTGAGGCTTAAAAGCCTTGGGTGAAAGCATCCATATAGTCTACTGGAATGGCAAACCGATATCGAGATCGCTTCATTCCATCTAGTAATTCTTTTCGAGGAAAGGTGGCGCTTATAACATTTTAGGTACTGGTCAAGTCACTTGCAACGATCACAGTAGTATAGAACGTTTACAAGACGAAGTTACACGTATTATATCATTGCTATCGGACGTCACTCAGTGCTTATGAACTTCTATTTTGATGCGATTAGCAGTACTAACAGAGCCTCCAATTCTACCATAGCAACAAAAGCCTCATAACGCTTATCGTCTAAGATTAGTTAATGACACATGAAGATAGTTAAGGTACAGAGATAAGACTAGCGTAACCGCCCTCCGCTGCCGTTATATCCCATTTACGCGACGTTGCTATCCTTCTGATTTGTTTTGTTCATGCTTTCATGGGGGAAAGGAGTACCCTTGAAAGTAAGAACAATACCGGGCTAAGAATTAAGTCGTGAAAACGTGGTAAGTTCTGAACTCTTCCGATAGTGATACTTATGAGGGAAGACAGTGCATTTTATGTCATTAAGCAAGGGCGGCGTACATGGGTAATAATGCAACTTTATTGTCTTGTTCAGTTCGACGAACGTTTACCCTAGAGCGGAACGCTACGTATCCCTCGAGCATCTCATTTTACGTATATGCATCTTTTGAGTAAAGATAAGGCTTAAGAAGTTTTTGATAATCACGACTATTAGCAATTATCCTTCCTTTATCCATGTAAATACTCTTGATGCAACATCTTGAACTGAATCGTTCTGCCCGATTCTCAGCTACGATGAAGCCATTCACCGAATAGTATGTATCGTCTTCAAACTGGACAGACGTGCTTCTGATAACTGAGATTCAATTTGCCAGCTGATGTCTCATCTTAGTCAATAGCATGAGCACTCTCGGACCAGTGCTCGTGGAGAGCGAGAGGTTGCTAGTGTGGATCGACTCGGTTATCGGCAGGCAGGTGAGACGCAGTTGGGCCCCATCACACGTGTTCCAGATTTCGTTTAAGCCCCTGGCTCAGACTGAAGGCCCCCCCAAAATGGCAAATCTCCCAACCCCAAGAACATGTCACCAGCCCGAAAGCTCGCACTTGCGTGATACCTCAGGCTTTACGTTTACAGGTATGTTACTGTAGAGTTGAAATCACTTGGGATTGACTTTTCCGTCCTAAAATCATATTCTACGGTCGTTCCATGCACAAACCGTCTTGATAGACGTGCAGAAATTGCTTGCAGCCCCAAGCTAGGGCTCGTTTCATGAGAGCCCGTCCTGCGCTTAGCACTTGAGAGACATGAAACACGTCAACGCAACACTCCAGATGTATCAAAGGGTTTGCTTGGCTGAGCACAGATGACAAGAGCAGGGATCATCGCAAGCCCACCCGACCTTCTCTGCTAGGAAACCAGTACTCAGGAGTGCAAAGATTCGTTCGGAGTTTCATCGGCCATCGTCGCTTCCATGATGAGATGGCCATCCCTCGCTCGTGAATCGAGCTCTCAAACAGCCATTGTAGCCGAGCAAAATGAGCCGGTATATCCTATATGACGGGAGAGAGAACCCCGTATGCGGATCTTACGGTAGACAAAACCAAGGCGGTCCCCAGGTTTGATTATCCTCTCAACAAACCAATGTGCGGTTGCTATTGTTCCCTTGTTCTGCATTTTTCTAGCACGTTGAGCCTCCCGTTGTTACTCTCTTTTCCAAGATCAAAATGCCCCCCAAAAGCAACCACTACTCAACAGTATCGCACTCGGATACTTACGATGATTCCACTACTGAAGTCGACGAGTCACTCATGGGCGATGAGAAGCAATGGCACTCAATAGACCTGAACGTGAAAGGGAACCAGGGAGGAAGCACTTGGAAAGAGGTCAAAATTCTCCTGCGGAGATATCGCTGGCTTATTGACACGCTTCTCCTCCTCACGAATATTGGTCTCTCGCTAGGACTGTCGTTATTGTTGTACTATCAGTTTGAAGACGCCAAGTTCCCGTCGCGAATGACACAAATTGGCGGCGATTACACAGGCGCTGGCCCGCAATGTAAGTCAGCCCCCAGACTAAGCCATGGTATGGTCCGCTAAGCTAACTGTTGTGACCTTCAGTCCCGATCGAGATCAAGAAATTTGATGCCGACCATGCCGTGGTGCCTCCCAACGCAACAGAATTTCTTTCCGAAGCTACGCTGAACCAATGGCGATCGCTTTTGCCTGGTAACGCCACTAGCTGAGACCTCAACTACAAGATTGATAATTCACTAACACCGGTATAGCTGGTGCCGGTTGGAAATCCGAGGATGATGGCCCTTTCTTCACCACTACCATGACCCATCAATTGCATTGCATCGTACGGTTCAACTCTATTGCTTCCTTGGAGATACATTTACTGACTTCTTGTAGTTCATGATGGGACGCATCTACTCTGAAATGGTCACCAACAAGACTGACATGTCTAGAACCGAGGCTGATATCCATTTCTATCACTGCATTGACTATCTGAGACAAGCAACCATGTGCTCAGCGGATCTGGCACTTGAACCACATCTGATTACGGACGCGGATGACAACGGGCCTGGAGATGGTAGTTGGAACGGCATGCATGGTAGGCGACTTCTCCCCCCTCGACAAACTACAGATAATTCCAAGCAAAGGTGTGTCAATCTCAAAGAGCGAGAACTAACCCGGACGTACTCTCAGTCTGCAAGAATCACGATCAAGTGATCAAATACGTAGATCGTAAGTTCAAACAATAAACAACTCTAAATTGACAACAGTCTAACACCGAGTCACAGGGCAAATCAAGGAAGGAGTTCGTGTGGTTCTGCCGATAGATGACTGAGCACTAGAGATTGGAGTAGTTTTTGAGTGACAGCGTCTTTATCCCATTGAGAATACAATACAACAGTAATACTCTTCTTCGGACTCTCAACGAATGAATCATACGCAGCACCATGGGTCCACACAGTCAGCCTTTTTGGAAAAGAGATTGTGCAATAGGCGACATCCACCTACGGAATGGATTCCAAGTAACCCAAACTCATGTTGGTTGGCGCCAAGACCTTCGCCGCAAGCCTGTACCCACGTTCTCAATAAAGGATCTCTTCTGCGCAAGACATAATTGGACTACGCCGCACGCAACAGCTGACTTGAGTCTAGTCAGTGCAGCTGCACACATCGGCGCCAGCGGATCGCAAGGAGGACTGACAACCAGATTTGAGATCTGTGATTGGAAGTGTCCTTCAAGGATGCCTGTCAGTTTCCCATAGCCTCGATGCCTGTGGACGGAGCTACTCGCATGCCTGCTTCCGACCTTGCATGCCAGCTGAAGCTTTGGCCGCAGCCTGATTTCCCTGGTATTAAATACCTCTGGATCTGGAAGCCAGGCAGCTGGACAATACAATGAGTTTCTTCTGCATCTTCCCTTTGTCATCCCTCGACCTGCGCTCCATCCATCTCGTCTGATTGAGCAACTGGGTAAGCCAGCGATAATCGGAGGCTTTGAGAGACTCACACTCGTCATGCATCTTCTAGGTCGCGTCTCACTCTGCCTTCTCCTCTCGGCCCACGGAACACACTCCGAAAACCGTTTTCGAAGACCGCCTGGTCCGGGTCCCTCAGGTGACTTCCGAGATAACCCTGTTTACCCGTTGGGAACCCAACTTGATCTACAATGGGAAACGGACTTTACGGCAATCGACTTAATCATCTGGCATGAAGCGACGTATCCAAAGAGTAAAGCAACGTATGCTTCAATTATCTGTAGGTCAATCCATTGCGAGAGATTCTTTGGATGAGAGCTCAGAAATGCAGCAAACACGCGTGCGCTGGGCATGCTCTGGACGGTCAGCTTTACTGGCTTCCCTTCGCACCATGATCCGACTTTGAGCCCTGTGTACTTCATTCAGATGTTCAACCACAGTGCTTCAGTGGGAGACATTACTTGCCACTATTTCAACATTACCAACTCCGTAGCATCCACCTCGGCGACAACATCGACATCCCCTACGTCGACAGCTTCGACTTTGACGGCAGTTGCTACACTGGTTGAAGCATCCCCAACCGCGTCACCTGGCTCTAGTGGAATGAATAACAGCGCATCTACCGGTGTAGTCGCTGGCATTACAGTGGGCGTCGTTTTGGGAACGCTGGCTATCATGGGCCTAGTGGGTTGGGTTATCTGGAGGCACCTGCGGAAGAAGAAACAGGGTCATGGGAGCGGTGATGCCGGGGCAAGCGACGTGGGGAACTTTTCTGCTGTTCAAGAAATCGGGCCCTCTCCTCCTCTTCGTTGGAAGTACGAGCTTCCTATGAATGCTCAGCAACATCGTTATGAAGCTGATGGAACAGAAGTTGTGAGGTATGAGATGGCCAGCGAACTTGGTTCGACTGACAATGAGAACAAAACTTTGAGGGTGAGGGGTGACGCAATGTTGAGAGAGCCGTGAGCAACCTATGTATGGATCGGAGGTAAATAGGACTTACGTGAAAGCTGTCGAGAGGAAGGCTCAATATCCAAATACCTAGATGAAATACTCCGCCATTATTGAACAGCATGATACTAGCATTCACGGCAGGCTCGGGAATGCCGTCGGTCTGTGGCATCTAGCAAATTGCCCTTCTTGAGGATATTGGAAATCATCATGTAATGCCTTACTTACTTGAAGCATTATATCCAGCTTCGGAAGCCGCCTCTTCATGTTGATATAGCTGGAAACCTCGAGGCTTAGCTTTTCATGTGGAATCCTCAATACTGAATCCGTTGTTTGAGCACAAACTAAAGGGTTGAACAACCACCTCAAACTACTTATGCTATGATTGCTTTCTAATTATCCTGGCCGATAATTTCTGAAACCGGCTCAACTACCTGCTGCTGGATAACCGACATGAACATCACCTCTCGAGATCGGTTCAATGTTAGAATCAAGGTCCTTCTCGCGCACCCACAAGCCCATTTGGAAGACGACGCTACGGGATTACATCTATAATACTCAAAGTTTCCCACAATTCAAGACTCTTTCCCGGGGTAAATAAATGGTACTGAGGCATGTGAGCATGTCGTTTCTCGAAATGCTACAGTTCACTCATACGATGAACACAGGAGGTCTCAGGTAGACAATGGTGTGAAAAGGAGTGTAGGCTACTGGGCATTGAAGTCCAATTAAAGTCACACCTAGCAGTGAACGTGAGTCCATGATTATTGATGCCGCTAACGTAGCATCCAGGTTAGACAGGTTAGACAATCTACTGTAGCCATGCTTTCACCAAGTTCCTCAGCCCACTCGCCATCCATTCTTCATCAACCTTCGTCATAGCATCAAAGCCATGCTCACCAGGCTGGACCGCTAGATTGAACTCCAACTCAGGGTCAACCTCCCTAACCAACTCTTTCAACGCGACATTTCCTTTCGCCGGCACAACACTATCATCAGCACCCTGCCACACGAATACACCACCGCGCGGAAACCTCTGCCCAGCCCTCAACCTCTCAAACGGAAAAAGCTGCTCCTTCTCGAGCGGGAACATCTTGGGAAAACCGCCGTGTTGAAGATTAGCAAACATGAGGAGGCCCCTCTCGAGATTTCGGTCGTTGGAGATGAGTGAAGGTGCCTCCCCATTACGAATCTTTTCAAAATGGTCGTCAACGATGCTCTGAGGCAGGGCTAGTCCGAATACCGGAGCCGTCGGCTTCTCCATGAAGTGTGCGTCGGCAAGGTCGATGCAAGGATAGGCGGCTGTCACAGCCCGGATTTCCTTGGCATGAGACAAGCCCGTCATGATACTCAGGTAGCCTCCCGCACTGTCACCAGCCGTCAGGATCCGATCCGTGTCAACATCAACGCGGCCTCCAAGCTCCTTCTTGAGAAAAGGGGCTAGCTCCTTATGAACCCAGGCCCAATGATCCTCTATATCTTCGAGGAGGTCTTCGATAGTGGACTCCGGCGCGAGACGGTAGTTCGGGCTCACAATTACAGCCGAGTGGCGTGCCGCGAGTTCCATGTGCCAAGGCGCGAAGAATCCGGGATAGAGACTCGCGCCGCCGATAAAACCGCCGCCGTGGTAGCGTAGTATTATGGGGCATGGTGAGATCACCGGGCTCGAGGCCTCTGTCAGCTTCTTCGGGATGAGGACATCGTTGGTGATGGAGTGGCCTGAAATTGTCTTGTAAATCGTTGTCAGGATGGTGAAGTCTGAGAAACGAGACATGTCGTCTGGATGCGGCAGGAGATCCATTTTGGCTTGTTGGATGCGTATCTGGGCCAAGTAGCTTTATGATAAGCAACGCTAGTTGTCTGAAAAGATGAGAGGACCTAGCCTCATGGAAATGTTCCGTAGTCGCAGGTCTTTCAGAAGAGAATGGTTTCTAAACAGTATCTGTTGAGCTCCATATGGGTCTCTCGGTTGCTTTCTGTCCCCGACAGACACGCTGACCCACGGAAACTTATTAAGAAATCTCCACACTAATATACATTCTCAAACATCCCAACCCCGCGAATAGCATTGACTAGTGGTCTTCGGATGTCGAACATGACATTTGGAGCTCCGTGCTTCGGAATCCGGTCTTTTGAGTTTCGGGAACTAGCAGTCGTAGTCTCAACTTGGACCAAGCTGCAGGAGTCTTAATCCGCAAGCCTGAGAGTCCGCGCCAGTGGTAGATTAGACTTGAGGGCTAAAACGTCTATTGGATCCCACCCTCGGGCCGGCATTTGCGGACGGCATGTGTCCGTATTGAACGAGGGCCTTCAAATTGGGTGGCCAGGGGCGTCAAGTTAAGGCCTCAGATGATCGCATTGATGGCCTATTTGACGTCAGTCTCATGAAGTTTGTCGGATAGAAAGCCAACATTGTTCGCGGCAGACAAGCCCGCGTCAATACGCGGAAGGTTGGCAAATCCATAGCACGTCCAATACCACCAGTGAATTTTTTGAATTATAATCTAAAAGGAACCAAGTAATACACCGAGTTCTCTCTTTTTGTTGGGTCAAGGCCGTTTAGTTTTGCAATCACTGAAATACATAATTCTAAGCCCCCAACGAAAGTAGCCTCCTAGCCACAGAAAGGAGCATCTACAAGACTTACCGATGAATGATATCCTAGATAATACATTGTTTAGGAGTAATCGATATGAATCTAGAGCAAACGCATAGGAGATGCACCAATATATCACAAAAAGCGTCTATACGGCATCTTGCCATATATACTTACCTACCAAAGAGACAAAAGATAGGTAGCTAAAGTGGGTAGCGTAAGGCTACTCCTCTTAAATACTGACATCATCGATCCTCTTCTATTCAACACCTGAAGGGAGAAAGAAGCTTAAGAGAAAGAGGAAAATTACATGAAAAGTTTTATTCCCCAGCTAAGCCACAACTGCAAACAAGGTCCACATCTTGACAACAAGTTCTGTTGGTAGAGTACGGAAAAGACATACTTAAATTTTCGTTGCAAAGGCAGAAGTCCTAAACCCCCAAGAACCATGTCAACAGAAGCGTAGACTAAATGAAGAGACTACCCCAGGAGACAGGGAGGATTACGTAATGCTGAGAGAAGTTAGTACATAATAAGAAGTTGGATAGAACGCTATGAAACAAGGAATAGCTTGAATTTGCTGCGTACTTCACGATTTCGGCAAGTCTAGAGTCTATACTGTTGGGTATCTGGTCGAAGACTATGACTAGCCTTCCTTAGGCTTGCGAGACTTCTACTAGGGACGTTCTTACTAATACTATCGATGATCAATTGTTCCCTTGACTGGGTGTTCCAGACGACTCTTTGAGGGCTGTACATAGTACATCATAGATCTTTCTCAAGCGTAATTCCTAGTTCCACACCCAAGCCTCCTTGGGTGATTTATGTCGCGAGTTGTCTCGAGCAAGTCGTTGTTCGCTGTCCTTTCTGTAACGTTGCCTGCCCAAAGGATCTTGTCGTCTGGCAGGCTGGGTGGAGTGAATGTAAGTGATGCTGGAGCTTACTTCTGGGAACTTTGCAGTTCGCAAAGGACTTTACCCAGGCTCTTCAAGCGACGAAACCGGACTTCGCTAATCACTGCCGCCGGGGCACCTAATTCTATCATCCTCGTAGCAGGCTTTGCAACGCCGAAAATCTGTGATTGTGCAATGGGATGAGTGGTGATCTCGCTAATCACGATATCATCAACAGATGTCCCATCTGTTGATCTACTGAGGGGGCAACCAGGCCAGCTTCTGGCTTCCCGAGACAAAGAGCGTTCCTAAAGAGACTCAGCTGAGGAAGAAAAGCAATGATAGTAACGGATGGGGACTACGGCAAGGCATACCGCACCGCCGCACCACTAGCCACAGCCTGTGTCATGTCATTGAACCCAAATTGTACATGGTTTATTGTAACATTAGCCGCCATTGGTGGCATTCATGTAGCCTAATTCTCGAAGCCTTGGCCGCTGTAAGCAATCCTTCATTGTTGGCTTGCTCGTGCGTGCTTTTCTACAAAAAAACATATGGCCACCAACTGAACTAGTAGAGCCAGCATCTCAGAGGGCTTTACTCTGTTCTGTGCTGATGAGAGTCTCTGTCAATGAGTCTAGAGGCGGGGATCCCAGCCTCGAGCTTGCTCGTCGCCGTGGCAAAGAAGCGATCCATCAGCTGGTGGGCAATTGCGGGAGTTTCGGTGACAGAGTTGTTGCTCAAATGAGAGACTCCGTCCATGAACGAGCCCGACGAGACTCTGCTGCTTGTTGGAGTGATTGCGTCACTTCCTTCGCTGCGAGATACTGTGCTGGAAGACGTGCTCCTCTAGTCCACGTTACGTTCAGCAGTCGGGGCACCACCACGCCAGAGACCGTAGAAACCGTCGCAATTCTTCCACATCTTGATCGTGCCGTCCTCGGAGCCAGTTCCGTACAGCTTGCCGTCGGGGGAGAATGCGATGGACCAGATGGGGCCATGGTGCCCCTTGAGAGTTTCTAATAGCGTGTTAGTAGGTATCCTGCTTCCAAGTTTCTATCCACCAACTCACCGATCTCGCCAGCGTCGTCCCAGCGGCAGACGCGTGCCCAGGTACCCGGCTCTTCGCCCATGATAATCTTGCGACCCTTGAGGTCCAAACCGACGCTTGCAACGCCATGCTTCAGTTCCAAGCGCTTGAGTTCGTCCATCGCTTGCGGGCCTCCCCAAAAGTATACCCATTTGCCGGCGGCCACAGCCAAGACAGGAAGGCCGCCTCCAATATCACCGGGCGAGGTGTGCTCGGGCGCCAGGGAGACGAGCTCACAGGACTTGATTTCGCCGTCGAGGACCTCCTGACGAATGACGTTACGGGTGGGCAGGTCGAACCACCTTAGGGTGTTGTCGGACGCAGTGACGATCGTGTTAGGATCCTTGGTCCAAGCAATGAACTTGATGGAGCCAGTATGGGTGCCTTCGCCAATCTCAAAGCCGGCCGAGGCAGGCACGGTGATGGGCGTACCGGT